AAAAGGCATTTGACAGGATCCTCTGGCCATATTTATTTGCTGTCCTGACGAGGTTCGGCTTCCCCAGGGCCCTATTACAGGCAATTCGCACCCTCTACACCAACCCGACAGCACGACTACTAATACCAAATGCCCGCCAAGCCCCGCTCCACATACGTAACGGCACCCGGCAGGGGTGCCCCCTGTCCCCCCTCCTCTTTGCCCTCTCCCTTGAACCCCTCTTGCAACAGATCCGCACTACACCCGCCATACAAGGCATAAAAATAAGAAGGGAAGAATACAAAGTGGCAGCATATGCTGACGACTTGCTTCTAACCCTGACTGACCCAGGGACTTCCCTACCCCCACTGTTAGACTTACTAGAGGCATACGCCAAAATCTCAGGGTACAAACTCAACATAGAGAAAACTGAAGCCCTAACAATCCAAACCCCACCCCACACGCGAACACTACTGCAACAAAACTACCCGTTTCGCTTCCAAACGCAAAGTATCCGTTATCTAGGAACAGAGATACCAGCAGACCTACATTCCACATACAGGCTAAACTACCCCCCATTAATCGACCAGGCCCTGAGAGACCTGCAAACATGGCAAAAATTATCCATCTCATGGCTTGGGAGGCTGGCAGCGATTAAAATGAACTTACTGCCACGTTTTCTCTATCTCTTCCAGACCCTCCCCATCCCACTCTCACGAGCAGACTTCAAAAATCTCCAAATGCACATTGATAAATTTATTTGGGCGGGGAAAAGAGCTAGAGTAAAACGAATTACCCTGTATATCCACACAAAAAAGGGGGACTAGGCCTGCCAAATTTCTGGGACTACCACCAAGCATCCCAACTTGCACAAATCCAATCCATGCACGCCCCCCCAGGGGTCAAGCGCTGGGTGGACCTGGAACACGACCTATTCGGACGAGATCTGCCAACACTCTACCTATGGATACCAAAAACACACAGACCACAACAGCCCAACACGACACCAGCCCTCACGACAGCCATCCACATCTGGAACAGGGCGACCGACAAATACAACCTCATAAATACTCCCTCACCCCTTATGCCTGTGCTGAGGAACCCTCAATTCACCCCGGGAATGACGCCCCAACATTTCACCAGGTACGAGGACAACGACCTTACGAGAATCTGTCATTTTTATAGGAACGACCGCCTTATCCCCTTCCCAGAATTGCCAAACGCCACACCATATAACACGTTTGACCACTTTAGATACCTCCAACTCCGAAGCTTCCTGTCAACCCCTACCATAGCCGCTGCGGCGGTGTTGAAACCCACTGCTTTCGAAAGGGACTGCCTGAGCAACCCAATACACAAGGGCCAAATCTCCAACCTATATAACCTCATAACACTTAAAACCCCCCCTGACGCCCTCTCCTACGTAAAGGCCTGGGAAAGGGATCTTGGTCCCCCGGGGGACCCCTCGGACTGGGCTGACATATGGGAAGCAACAGCGACAGTGACTATCTGTGTTAACCACAGAGAGCAGGCGTATAAGACCCTGCTTCGGTGGTACCTCACCCCCCTGAGACTCAAACAAATGAAACGCACAGACTCGGACAGATGCTGGAAGGGATGTGGCGGAAAGGGAACATACATTCACGTGTGGTGGCATTGTCAACACTTAACTCAAATATGGAAAGAGATGGCCGCTGCCACCTCGAGAGCATTACAAACGGACATCCCCCTAGACCCATGGACCTGGCTGCTGTCCAGGCCCCTAGAAAACTTGACCCGAGCACAAAACAAACTAGTAGCAAAGGTGGCCCTAGCAACGCGTAGAACTATAGCCACCCACTGGGGCAGCCCAGAAATCCCAACAGCCTCGGAGGCCCAGAGAAAGATTAAAGAGGCCATGGAGATGGACGAACTGTCCGCACTCATTCATGAGAACACTAGATCTTTCCATAAGATCTGGGACCCCTGGTTGGCATTGTAAGACTTCGCGAGCGGGGAAGGGGGGGGGGGAGAAGAGCCCCCCCCCTTTACCACAATCCACCCCTACCCTACACCCGCCCACAACACACATCAAAGCACCACAACCAGCAGAAAACAATTGCACAAACCTGCAAACATCACGACTACAAGCAACCACCTGAACCAACTCAGGTGAACCCCACAAGCTCAACCACACAAACACATCAAACTGATATTACGACACAAGGACACTCTCCAAGTTCTAAACCCCTAACCCCCCGACCCCAGAGGCACCACCTCACCCCCAGAGGACAGAGACAGGGCAACGCAACGGACAGAGTACGACAACGACTCCTCACAAAGCCCACGCCCTAAGCGAAAACCAGGTTTGAGCCTCACAGCGTATCACCAAAACCCATCGCCTAGGGCCTACCCCCTAAACTCAGGGCACACGGTGGTTAAGCCTAACAGAGGGGACACCCCCATCCATCTTACACACCCGACCCTTCCAGACCCATAGCAAGGGGAGTTACATGTTGGACAACTGAAACAACGAATGTAAACAGGGAAAGAGTAATGAGTACAAATGTAACCGATTTAACTGTAACATGTTGCACCCCTTTTTCCTTTCTGTACCCCGTTTTGTTTAAAAAAAAACAAAAAACAATAACTTCTTTTGAAGATCCAAAAATAAAGAATTTATAAAAAAAAGTGTATATTGCCAGAGTCACTCAGAACAGAGCGGACTCCATTTTGCTATTTTCGGGATAACAAAGACACATAATTTCCTTGATTTCACTAACCACTGAGCCTGAGCTAAGGAATGCATTATATAAACACAGACACTAGTGACAGAGAAGACTAAGTAATTAATTTTACAAGGTTCCATTGTAAGTAAGGGGTGAAATTGAGTTTAGAACTGTCAATTTTAGAAATTACGATCAAAGTAGTTGCCACAAAGACTGAGACAAACGCTTTGAACTGACAGCAAATTTAAGTTATGATGGTCATTTTAGATAAGCCAAATGACGTCAAAATCGTCATCAGGAAAAGTTAACTCTTTCCTGGATAGGAAGGTTTAGTGAGACGAGACTGGATGAAATACCTAAATTGCGAACCATAGATTGAACACACCTACAATTTCCTATTGGCTTATCAACTAATGACGTACAGAGAGTCTGGCCCTTTAAAAGTTAAGACAAAGGGAAGAGAGGTTAGTTGGTAGAGAGACGAGTTGGTGGAGTTTGGGAATTCAGATTCGGACATGCAGAGAGAGATATTCAGGACACTCTCTGGGACTAACACTCTACTCTTAAACTCTCTTGGACACAACTCCTTGACACTTTGAATTTTACTGATACTTTCTAACCAACACCACTTTTCTCTATCACTCACGCACCTCCATACAACCAATCAAGTTTCTGGGACTACCTACTCATCTGATGAGAATATCTACATAACTGGTAATTATGCTGGTTTTATTTAATTAATTTCAATTAATTAAATTTTACTAATTGCATGATATATGACTGGATAAATCACGGTCAGGTTTCAATATTTAGAAATCTTAGTTAACTAAAGAATATATAGTTATAAACATTCCATTCTGCAGGTGAAATTAAGAATAATTATCTATTAATGTGATAGTATCACGTGTTAGCATACCACTGTTTTTATCCAGGTGTATTGATTTGCTCTAAAATAAGAGGATATCTTTTTAGGCAAATTAAAATTCAGCTTTTGTAAAAATCTGGTAGATTATTCTTATTGGATGGTTCCAGGAAATGATTAATGAATTGATTCAAATGTTATTTCAATTGAAAATCACAGGAGAATAGGATAC